GCTTTTCGCTTTAATCATAAATCTGCCCGACCCACGTTTTTTGGGGCGAGCCATAATTTATTTTCTACTTTTTAGTCCACAAGAAAAACGTGGTTTTTTAAAAAGTTCTTTTTTAGGTATTTATTTTCTCCTTTTTAGTCCTACATAATATTCATTTTATTTCAGTTGGACACGCAAATGCACGAAAGAAAATTCTTTTCGAAGTTCTGTAGAAAATTTTATTCGAGGGGATACATTGGTGCATGTAATTTCATTTCATTTCATGCACCAATTGAATAAATTCCACGCATTTCATTGAATAAATACGCCTGGAAACGTGCAACAAATTATTGATTATTGTATTGTCAACGGGAGCTGAGCTGCCCTAAAAGTTTCAGAGCGCTAGCTTACGGGAAAGTTGGTGAAATATCGATTGCAAGATTTGATCATCACAGACGGACACGAAAGCGAGCTAAGAAAAACGTGGTAAATAGCTACACGGTTTTATTTTATTTCACAGCCGGCTACTAGAACCCCCGTCAGACCGTTTTTTTCAAACGGTGTATCAACAGTTGGACGTTTTAAAGCTTGCTTGAAACTAATTTGGGGCGTTAAAGATGTAATTTTATTGTCGAGGTAAGAGCTGGTTTTTAGTCACAGAGGAAATCTGCATGGGTCTCTAATTTAGATACTACTTTGAGTGATTTTTTTATCGCGGGGAAATAGTATTGTTGCAATTAAAGCACCGTTTAATTCAGTGTGTTGGAATTAATTCCCAAACCTGGAATTTCAGAGATGAAGCACTCGACTATTCAGCAAAAGAAAAATTGCCGCTACCTCTCCTTGGCCGACACTAATATTTAGTTGTCAATATGTTGGAGCTGACACCAATATATATTTTATTATTATTGAGTACTTTTTTAATACTGTTTGCTGTGCTGACACTCATTACACTGTTCATCCTGAGTGTCAGAATTCCTGGCCAAAACTTCGTTGTTGATATTGGAGAACCAGGCACTACTTTTTTCGTTTAGAGTAGAAGCAGGCCCTTATAGTCCTTACAGCTGACGCGTGGGGTGGGCATCTCTAGGGGCGAAGGTCATGGCACGCGAAAAACGTGGCATAAATTAGGACGAATCATACACGTACTTAATGATAGATATAATAAGATATACATTTGGTTAAAAATAAATTAACTACTCTAAAATATAAATTAAGAGATTTAAAATTGCGCTATAGCATGAACACAGTACACACACTTTAATATGCGAGAAGTTCTTGGTAGCGCATCAAACACACAAAACATCGTTTATTATGCAGGAATAGGAACTTCAATTACTGAAATAACACAATTTTCCAAGAATACTCAGGAAATCAAATTCAATATCAATTAGCCATACAAAACCTGATTGAATTATTGAACGTTACTAGCAAGAAACCTAATATATTATCTTCATGTTAACTGTATATAGCAATTAACTCCGATACGCAAGGCCGGCGCTCCCACACTGACACTGTGTGGCCTTGTGTGACGCCGTATGTGTGGCTGCTGCATGTGCAGCGTATGGCTGTATGAATGTGTTGCTGACACACGTGCTTGGCTGAATGGCTTATCATGACGCCAGTATAAGAGATAAGAGGCTTTTTTGTCTAACGCGTTGATGTATAGATTGTATCATAATGAATGTTGAGAGATCTGCAGCTATGGAGCCGCTGCAGAAAAATGTAAACTGACAGTTTTTTTTTTGCGGCAATCAGACTTTGGTCAAGACACATTTATAGTTCTTGAGATTTTATAGTGACAAAAATTTATTGTGTTACCTACATGAAAATCAGAATCTTCCAAATAAGAAGCAGACGCCGCCAGCGGAAGACATAAAGTCAATTGGCAGTCATACAGGAGCTACAAACTATCAAGAATAGTTACGAATTCATAACTTTTTCAGTTAATCAGCGGCGGCATTTCAAGCAAAACTCAACAATTACAAGCGAGAAATTGGCCGCTATGCATGTGTACGTGAGCCATTATTTGCCCCTAAGCGAGTTTTTATTAAGACTTTCTCAGAAGAGCAGCACTAAGGTTCAAGTTCAAGCACGAATATTGAACTTTTCGCTGATATTTCATTGAACCTTGTCACGATGATCGCTCCTAAGACTGTCTTGTGTTTATGAACTTTATTCGAGCAAACATCGTTGGAGATAGCAAAGTGTGCGTAAGCTAAAATATAATATTGAGCGTAATGTTGTCACACTCAAGTTGATAACAAAATGATAACCCGCACGACTGGCCAGTAATACTGATCGTTTATAGGAGGAAACCCATAAAACTTGAGCAAAGTAATAATAAAATAGTGCGGGAAATAATTAATTACAAGTTAATGAAATGTTTACTGAGAATGAGTTATACAAAAAGGACGAATTATACACAGAGCATGAGACCTTAAGTCTCTAAGCGTACACAGAACGGTTCTTCCTTAAGAAACTGTTGTAGGTCACCAGCGAACGATGAGGGCGACGTGCACTTTGAAAAATGAGTGGTTCTCATTGTCCGAATAGCGTTACACATTTTGCCCTTGTGTAAGTCATCCTGACACGGGTTGACCCGTGTCAGTACTTCATCAGCTCGCTGCTGGTGATGCTGAAGAAAGTGTGTCACAATATGGACAATACGACCCATTCATTTATTTGATGTGCTAACCCGGCTCGCTGCGGGTGCTATATTAAAGTAACATTAATTCGTAAGTATTAATGAGATAAGCAAGCAACTATTATTAGGCATGCATAGAGAATATGCATATTACGTAAATATTTATGCTTATGAATACATGTTAAACTTAGGACGCAATAAAATGTAAAACGAAATACATGGACAAGTCGTTCAACTCAGAGATTAGTAAATCTAGGCAAATATAATAGTTATTGTGAGCCTAAGTTCCTATCAAATTGTTTGCATTCGCATCATGAAACTTTATCCATCAAATTATTTCACTACAAGAAGCTATTGACATTATTGTAATCTGGGCCATACTTTCAAAACTCGCTAAATGAACGTAAGTACTTACGCTCTATTTTCTTGTCTACACTGTATGATTGGTGGATTTTGCTTGAAAGGCCGTCAATGATTGGCCGATGAACTTACGATCTCTTAACTTTTTTTTAAAGTATAGGACCTGATCGCTTCTGGGAGTTCCTTCCCAGAAGATCTTGCGACAAATTGCTGGTCGTGGGCAACGTCTACCATTCGCTGTCGTCTGCACTTCAGAGCACATCAGCTTACTCGCAAATTTACCGCTCAAAATGGCCCCTTTCAATTAATGCATTGAAGAATATGAAGAATAACCTATATTTTGCTCAACTCAAATACTTACGGTGCGTCTGGCCTCTAAAATTAAGTAGTGAATATATCGCTGAGGGAAACGTGCTAAATGCTAAAGTGACTCAGAAACTTAAGACATTTATTTGGGCCTATACCGAACCGAAATGCCTTATGTCGTATGTCGCGTTTAAGATACAAAAGTACACTTAAATTCACTGAATTACTTCGTGGCCTTTCTTACCTAAGTTACATCTTAGATGAATGCAGAATATGCAACCAAGCCATCACATGATGACTTTAACTAATACAACTGAGAAGTCGTTAGCTGCTGGAGCTAAATTCATCTGAAAAGGGAAAAACGCGACAAGTTTATAATCGGACCAATACCATTTAGTTTCTATTCGAACAAATTACATACACAAATAACCTATTTCTGGCAACAGGAACAATGATTGCACATACACGAACGTAGTGAAGAATTGTATGGATATCTAGAATTGTAACAAAACCTAAGAGAACAAACAGAAATAAGATGAACGAATTTTTTTCACTTTTCTACCTGGAATTTTTGAGTAAAATGGCCAGCACATATGACCGATTTATGCATGAGATTCATTGCGCTTGGTAGAGAGCAGCAGACGAGTTTGTAGAAGCTAAGCAGTTAGGGTTAGAGTAGCAGTGAGTACCTTAACCCTCTACCTCTGATACGAGTAACCGGAGCAATATTGTCGCAAGTCTACTTCCTAAAAAGGATACGTTCTAGTGAGCGCCTAATGACTTGCGCACTGATGGTTGCCGCCACGTACAACAACTTTAAGATGTTCTCTGTTGCGTACAAACGTCCTCAGGTTGCTACACTCAATAGTTCACGTATAATATAACTTGAGAGATAAGTTCCCGGAGAGTGACAAACGGCGGTAGAGGGTTAACATCGCGATAGCTTACAAGATTTATTTATACAATATAACTTTAGCAATACTGAGTAACATCACTATGAGTATTGCATTGGCCATCAGTCCTTAACCCAGCATAAAAGTATATTTATATAGTTGACTAATCCTAACATGGAACAATAAGGCAACAGTTCACAATTACTAAACAATTAACCCATAATAAAGATCTATGCAGCTCATTGTAAGTCTGGCGAAACAAAGCAATATATTTATCAGCCATGCACACGATAGTTTGTTACGTCGTGCGTGGAAACGAATTCAATACTTGAGTTCGTATTGCAGCAAAAGCTTGAAAAATTGTCGTGTTCGTAACCGTTGTACGAATGTGTGCACAGGTCTGGTAAATATTTTGCTTTTAATAAAATATAATAGAAGAACATGCCTCAAGGATTTTATTTCTTCAGATCAAGTGGGCATCTTGATACTGAACTTCACCATCATCACTTTCTATAGCATCGCCATATTGACTGCCATCATCAGCCTTGCGTACATCATCGATGTCAGCACTTGCTTGTTCTGCACGATCGCCTTGGAGTGTCTGTCCACCTCCGCATGATGGACTTGGCTGTCCATAGACATTACTTGGCTGTCCATCGCCATAACTTGGCTGTCCTTCGCCGTGACTTGGCTGTCCATCACCATAACTTGGCTGTCCTTCGCCGTGACTTGGCTGTCCATTGCCATGACTTGGCAGTCCATCGCCATTGCTTGGCTGTCCATCCTCATGATGTGAAGGCTCAGGCCATAAAGGCTCTTGTTCTTGTGCGCTCGATACAAACAGCGAATTAAAGAAGTGACAATCAGGGAAGAGTCGATGAGCAGCGCGTGACATGCCGATGACGATGGCTGGCACGACGATGGTCAGGACCGTCACGACGATGGCGACGATGGCAGACGTGAAGCTTGCGTCGTGTAGACGTCGTCCCTGGCGGCTGGGACACGCAGCGTCCTTGTAGGCGTAGGGCGACAGCGCGGACGTGGTGAGGTAGTGGTCACCGTGCGACCTGACGATACAAATTACCAGCGGATGTTAGATCTGTAGCAGCGCTAGACAATCTAGTATATATAATTGTTCAAGATCACGTTGGGTCTATAATGATATTTATAATAAAAATAGGCGTGTTTCACTACTGTACTTACTCAGAATGAATATATTCATGCATTGATGAATATTTTTTCTATTCAAGCCAGTCAGCAGAAGCCCACGCAGCCCGCTCATGATTTTACTTTGGGTCCACCAAAAAAAAATCAAGTTATAATTTTAAAATCTTTTTCTTTAGCACTCAAATAAAGCCACGCTATAAAAAATCCCAGCAGTATGCGTGTCATGAACATCTTCATCCTATACTCGGCCTTATTATCTGCTGCACAAAACTGCCACTCTTGCCTTCACAAACGAAGAATAAGTGCGAAAATCCAGCCAATATGTAACTAAAAATGGCTTTTTAGTGACTCCAAGCCATTGCAATAATGCATAATTTACTCATTATTCATGCCATAATAAATATCCATTGATGTTATCTAAGGATGTGTCGAGACAAGAACTCGTGTTGTGTGGAGAGTCGCATTATGTATACCAGTGCATGTTCCCAAACTTTTTCAGGCTGGCGCCCCCTTTGGCTCCCTAGTGAATTTCTAGCGCCCCCCAGACACATATAAAAACATACGACACATATAAAAACTCTTTCTTGAAATTTAGTACGCTGCAATTTTAATAGATAAATGTTAAACACAAATTTGTATTTCACAAATAGAACCCCATTTAGTGAACCAATATGTTTTTAAGCTGTTTTAACTGTTTCAGCACTAGAAACCTAGGACGTCTCGGGCAAATTCACGGCCGGACTCGTGGCCAGTCGCACGACCAATCTCCAAATTCAATTATCTTGTAATATCTCTCAAACTAATGAACGTAGCTCAAGGAAACTTGGAACATATATTCATCAGAACCTAGCGTCGATTTTAGCTCGTAAAAATGTTAAATTTCACCTTCTTTCGTGAGTTATATTGCGATAAAGGCTGAAATTCGCAGTGATCAAAGAATTTCTTCCAAACTACTGAACAGATTTGAACGAAATTTTGAATATACAATCCTAACTACCAAGCATTGATTTTTTTTTGTTTTTAAACATTTTCTATTTTACCTTCGTTTTTTTTCATTTCAGTCATTCTTGATTTCACACTTCCTTATATTCGGCCCGTATCGCCGGATTATAATTTGTCGCTCAAATTCGCGGCGATCAAGAAATTTCTTCTAAACTACTGAACAGATTTCAACGAAACTTTGTATATAAATACCTAATCTCTCAACGGTGATGTTTAGCTCGCGACAAATTTTCTATTTTGCTTTCGTTCGTGAATTCGTTCGGCCCGTATTGCCATATAACTATGGCAAAAACAAATGAGGGCAAAATTAAATAAAAAATTCACGAGCTTAACATTACCGTTAGGTCATAATGAATACGTGTACCAAGTTTCATCGCGTTAAGTTCATTAGTTTGAGAGATATTCCTTGAACATTGAATTGGAAATTGGCCGTGAGATCGGCCGCGAGTCCGGCCGTTAATTTGTCCGAGACGTAAACCCAGGAGAGGTAAAAAAACAGATCTGGGTGAAAAAACCATCGCGGGGAGTCATGCTGTGCTGCACGTGTTGTGTACAAATCGTCAAACAAACGTTCGAACTTCTGACTTCGATTGCGGACTACCGCCCCACCCTATCGCTCCCCTACCGCTCTCTTCGTCCTTACCGCCCCCAAAATCTTTCCACCGCCCCTAGGGGGCGATATCGCCCACTTTGGGAATCACTGATGTATACTGACAACTCTGTATACCGACTATTGATTTTACGTACGAATAGCATTAGTCGACGGTTCACAAACGGCAACAAGGCTTGGCCATATATCTATGGACGGCGACTAGTTAAGCCTGGCCTTGTGGTACGAATAGCATTGAATACGGTCAAAGCCTCCGTGTATACGGTCAAAGCCTCCGTGTATACGGTCAAAGCCTCCGTGTATACGGTCAAAGCCTCCGTGTATACGGTCAAAGCCTCCGTGTATACGGTCAAAGCCTCCGTGTATACGGTCAAAGCCTCCGTGTATACGGTCAAAGCCTCCGTGTACAAGGACGTCTTTGCCTCACCAAGGGTCAGCATGCACGCCCATGTACTGAGGGGCGTGGCCGCAGGACGCGTTGCCCTCAGTGTACTCGCTGTAGGAGCGGGCGGGGCGCGCCAAAAAGCGCGTCGTAGCGTCGCTGTAGGCGAGGCTCTCGATGAAGTACGTGCAGCTCATCTGGTGGTCGCAGCCAACCAAGCCTCCTGAAACGGACAACAAATAAGAGGGTGATAGATATGTGACCTTGTTTATAGTATAATACTATTTTTATTGAGTTATTTTACTGAATGTGACTTTGTGTGTAGTTAGAAATGTAGGTACGACCTTGATCAGAGGCAGGTACGGTCTTGATTAGAGGCAGGTACGGCCTTGATAAAAGTCAGTTATAGTCTTGATTAAAGTCAGTTACAGTCTTGATTAAAGGCATGACACGGCATTGACCACGAGACTATAACGGACACCAAGCTTTGGGCACGAAAGTTGGTGGGCACACCGAGGCTTGGTGCGCTGTATTTGGTACGAAGTTTCTGTCCAGTTCTAAAGAGTGAAAAGCGAGTCGTGAAAATGTTCATGGTGTCTGATACATTGACAGAGTAACAGCAGTTAGAATACATAAGAGGATAGAGCCAAGACTGCAGCGTTGGGAAAGCAGCAACTTGACAGAGCCGACATTGAGGCATTGGTTGAGCGGAGAGCGACCGATCTGCTCGGTTGAGAGGAGCAGAGCAACCAAGTTCAGTTGAGTGAACAAGAAGCAACAACGTTAGTTGAAGTAAAAAAGAACAACGTTGCTTGGGCGCTGCGGGCCCCAGCAAGTGGGCTGGTGCTCGCCTCAGTTGGGCCAGAACAGGACGTACCTTCCATAGCGGCGCTGTGGGGCGCTGCAAGGCCCCGGCGGGTTGGCTGGTACTCACTTCAGTTGGGCCAGAAATGGACGTACCTTCCATAGAGGGGCTGTGGGGCGCTGCAAGGCCCCGGCAGGCTGGCAGGTTCTCGCCTCAGTTGGGCCAGAACACGACGTACCTTCCATAGAGGGGCTGTGGGGCGCTGCAAGGCCCCGGCAGGCTGGCTGGTACTCACTTCAGTTGGGACAGAACACGACGTACCTTCCATAGAGGGGCTGTGGGGCGCTGCAAGGCCCCGGCAGGCTGGCTGGTACTCACTTCAGTTGGGACAGAACACGACGTACCTTCCATAGAGGGGCTGTGGGGCGCTGCAAGGCCCCGGCAGGCTGGCAGGTTCTCGCCTCAGTTGGGCCAGAACAGGACGTACCTTCCATAGAGGGGCTGTGGGGCGCTGTGAGGCCCCGGCAGGCTGGCTGGTACTTGCCTCAGTTGGGACAGAATACGAAGTACCTTTCATAGCGGGGCTGTGGGGCGCTGCAAGGCCCCGGCAGGCTGGCTGGTACTCACTTCAGTTGGGCCAGAACAGGACGTACCTTCCATAGCGGGGCTGTGGGGCGCTGCAAGGCCCCGGCAGGCAGGTTGGTACTCGCCCCCGTTGGGCCAGAAGTCGGTGTGGCCGATGGCCTCGTTGAGACCATAGCACGCCTGAGGAAGAGAGGAGGAGGAGGTGTCCATCATGCAGCATATAGAGCATAAATTGGCTCACAAGTAGGTTGAGAGTAACTCAATAACGGGAGATAAGAGATAAGTCTGGATAAAGATAAATTGGTATAGGAGATAATTTAATGTAAGAGATGAGTTATAACAAATGTGAGATATTATGAGGACGCCATTGTGAGGTGTTTCTTTTGGCGCCACTGTGAGGCGTTTCTATGGTAATAGACGATGCGATGTTGAATCGTAATCAAGTATAACCTGAGGATTGGTCCAGTTACAGCTTGATCCGAGGATATTGAAGAACAGCGTATTAAACGATTATACATGTAGTGCATTAGTTAGGGTTAAAATTCGGCTTACAGCTTAGAATAATCTAAGTTCATAATTTGGAACTTTAACATTGACTTCTTCGGCGTCCAGTTGAAATACGGATATGTCTAGAGTATATGGTCTTCTACTCTGACGTTAATTAATTAAGGCAAAGTTAATTTAAGGCAAAGCTTCCATCGCTCCAGCATTTATTGCTGGCAGAAGGATGGTTTGTGTGTCTGCTGCCTATAGTAGGAGTTTAGGCAGGTAATCTGAAGTTTTCCTTGAAGACTCCCGGGAAATTACCTGGATTGACAGTTCACTATCTAGTAGATGAAAATTAAACTTATCAACAAAAGCCGCGAATTGAATTAGAGGAACCGGTAATATTCTTCAAATTAATGTAATCTAACCCAATGTTAATAAGGAATGGAGAATCTAAAAAAATGTCAAAACTTTTCATTCGCAAAAAAAAAAATGAATAGATGGCCGCAGCACAGCTTGATCACTAATTTTTTGTCTCTAATTTATAAAATCCAGTTGTCTGTGATATCGCAGCGCGTTATTTTCGAGTCAATTAAAAATAAAAATAAAACTTAGAGAGCATGCGAACACTCACAAACCAAGGGTTGTTCGTGACGCACGCGTTCGTATGGATGACGTCGACGTAACTAGCGTCCGTCTTGTCGAGACGTTTCGTCTTATCGACCCTGTGGTACGTCAGACCTGCAGGGTCCAGACCTGCAATAAGACGTACAGCTTTATTCTATGTTACGTCCCACCTGCAATGTGACGTCCTGCAATGTAACAGGGTCATAAAGGTGTGTTACAGGAAAATATCACAACAGCGCCTTAGTTTGTGTTACGGGACAAACAAAAAAAAAAGATTTGTCTTTGCTGTATGGTTTCAATAAAGATTTGTCTATGCTGTATGGTATCAATGAAGATTTGTCTACGCTGTATGGTATCGATGAAGATTTGTCTATGCTGTATGGCATCAATAAAGATTTGTCTATGCTGTATGGTATCAATGAAGATATGTCTACGCTGTATGGTATCAGTAAAGATTTGTATACGCTGTATGGTATAAATGAAGATTTGTCTACGCTGTATGGTATCGATGAAGATTTGTCTACGCTGTACGGTATCGATGAAGATTTGTCTACGCTGTATGGTATCAATGAAGATTTGTCTACGCTGTATGGTATCAATGAAGAATTGTCTACGCTGTATGGTATCAATGAAGATTTGTCTATGCTGTATGGTATCAATGAAGATTTGTCTACGCTGTATGCTATCAATGAAGAATTGTCTACGCTGTATGGTATCGATGAAGATTTGTCTACGCTGTATGGTATCGATGAAGATTTGTCTACGCTGTATGGTATCAATAAAGATTTGTCTATGCTGTATGGTATCAATGAAGAATTGTCTACGCTGTATGGTATCAGTAAAGATTTTAATAAAAGACTTCTATAAGGTACATTTTTGGAGCCTCGGCAGGCAAGATCGTCACCATGACTGAAGTCAACCCATACGTGTACTTAGGAAGGAACGTGTTTTCGAACGAGTTTGATGATACGGCTGTTGCCGCCATGAAACAGAAACAGTGTGTCACCATGAAACAGTTATGCCGCCATCAAGCAGTTAGTGAACAGATTTCATATAATGAAGGGAAGAAACGCACCCGTGATTCTCCCCACGCCGCCCGTGACGTTTTTGCCGACGAAGCCCGCGACGTGGGCGCCGAGCGAGTGGCCGATCAAGTGCACGTCACGTAGCTCCACGTGCTTTGTAGCTCGTGCCTCCCTGAGCATCTCTGCTACCTCAGAGCCAGTGCACGGTACGTATCCTGTACATAAGTCAGAGCACGGTACATATCATGTACATAAGTCAGAGCACGGTACATATCATGTACTTTGGTCAGAGCACGGTACATATCCTGTATATAAGCCAGAGCACGGTACATATCCTGAACATATCTCAGAGCACGGTACATATCATGTACATTGGTCAGAGTACGGTACATATCATGTACATAAGTCAGAGCACGGTACATATCCTGTACATAAGTCAGAGCACGGTACATATCATGTACATTGGTCAGAGCACGGTACATATCCTGAACATATCTCAGAGCACGGTACATATCATGTACATTGGTCAGAGCACGGTACATATCCTGAACATATCTCAGAGCACGGTACATATCATGTACATTGGTCAGAGCACGGTACATATCATGTACATTGGTCAGAGCACGGTACATATCCTGAACATATCTCAGAGCACGGTACATATCCTGTATATAAGTCAGAGCACGGTACATATCCTGTACATAAGTCAGAGCACGGTACATATCCTGTACATATCTCAGAGCACGGTACATATCCTGTATATAAGTCAGAGCACGGTACATATCCTGTACATATCTCAGAGCACGGTACATATAATGTACATATCTCAGAGCACGGTACATATCCTGTCCATAAGTCAGAGCACGGTACATATCATGTACATTGGTAAGAGTACGGTACATATCATGTACATAAGTCAGAGCACGGTACATATGATGTAAATTGGTCAGAGCACGGTACATATCATGTAGATATGTCATAGCACGGTACTCATCCCGTAAATGGGTTTCCATCAAGTTCCAGTTTAAAGTCCCGTTCAGTCGCCACGCCACACCAGACATAACCGCGTATCACCAATACACTAATAATAACCACGTATCACCAATACACTAATAATAACCACGTATCACCAATACACTAATAATAACCACGTATCACAATATACTAACAACATACACATGAGTATGTGCACATGCAAATGTACGTATTCTGTAAAAGTAGACGTGGATAATACCACATGAGGAGATTGAGCCCACCTGTTGCCCTGTAGTAATCTGCGTATGTGTTGCCAGCCCACCACTGCACCGCCAGCACGTTGCAGTTCTCGCGCTGCAGTAGCTCTGCAGTCCGTAACGCAGTTATTTTACAACAGAATAAATACATCTGGAATATATAATCATTAATTAAATGTAATCTAGGACACCCAACATCAGCAGTATTATTACTTACTGAGGCATCAGTCATGAAGCCGTGGGTGACGACGTATGTGTTTTAACGGCATCAACTCACTTGTTTTGGTCTGGATGATCCACGGCTGCGAGGCGTCAGACATGAAGCCATGGGTGACGACGTATGTCTTGGCGGCCTCAACTCACGTGTTTTGGTCTGGATGATTCATGACTGCAAGGCGTCAGACATGAAGCCATGGATGACGAAGTATGTCTTGGCGGCCTCAACTCACTTGTTTTGGTCTGGATGATCCATGGCTGCGAGGCGTCAGACATGAAGCCATGGATGACGACGTATGTCTTGGCGGCCTCAACTCACTTGTTTTGGTCTGGATGATCCATGGCTGCGAGGCGTCAGACATGAAGCCATGGATGACGACGTATGTCTTGGCGGCCTCAAGCATGTGGGTGCGGCGGAGAGACGCGGGACTGTCGATGAGCTCGTACTCCTGCCCGCTCTTGTAGGCGCTGCAATTCAGTCAACAGGGAAATGTTTCTAGGTCACATTCAGTATTAATACTGAATTATTGCTCATGTTTATCATATAATTCATTGCTGGATCAAACTAATAATTTATTCAACAGAATTCATCTCATGAGCAATACAAAGTTCGACTCACTTGGTCCAGAGAAATACTTTCTCGACGCAGTAGAAGCCTCCGCCAGACCCACGCCGTTCCCGATTGGGACCAAATTCTGAAGACATCAAAGAAGTTTTTGGCATTAGAACAACTAAATAGTCCATGATAGATATTACTGTAGGCACAAGCGCAACTAAATAGACTATGATAGATATTAGGCACAAATGCAATAAAATGGTCTATGATAGATACTAGGCATAAGAGCAACTAAACAGTCCATGATAGATATTAGGCACAAGTGCAACTAAACAGTCCATGATAGATATTAGGCACAATTAAGAGCAACTAAATAGTTCACGATAGAAATTAGGCAAGATAAGCAGGTAACCTGAATGAATGACGATAAATAGTAGGGTTTCCTAACAACAATGTACGTTACACATAAACAATTGAGAAAGAAGGATAAAGCGTATCTCACTTCCGAAGATTGGACTTATTATTATGATAATTAGGTTCAAAGGCTTCGAGTGCTTATGCATTGCCCAGCCTGATCTCTGCCATTAGTTGGGGAGTTGGGGATAAAAGAAAGAGGCTTGGGCCAAGTCCAAGGAAGATTGGACGTGGCAGAAGATTGGACTGATAACTAGCTTAGTAAATAGCACCGATAAACTCACAAAAACAGGAACTGCTATCAATGAGACTTTCGATCATGACTTCTCTCGAAAACCTGTGCTGAATAATAATATTAATATATAAAAACTCTCATTTGGAAAGTATTCAAAGAGAAATTAGAAAGAAAAAAAAATTCAATTAGAAACGGGCGCGCAAGTTCAGAAACTTGTCGGGAACTTTTTTGCCGTGACTAAGGTCGCTGCTCAATATAATACAACATCAAATGTAATAAACCATTAAATTCAACCTTCAAATGAAAATTATTCATTATTAATCGTATATTATTCGTGATACAGGCATTAAGCATGCAGGGAAAAACTAACTGTGCCGTTAACATAACTTCCTGTGTGATATAAAGTGAGAAATATTATTATTTAATGTCATTCAATTGTTAAATAAATCAGGAGCACATTCGCCGACAAGATAATTCAATATATCAGCCCGAACTTAACCCACGAACCTTGTTGTCGTGGCAGAGCTGGCGGCACACGACCAAACATCCGCTCAAGTCCGGCGGTTGGAGCGCCGGCAGAGATATTGTCTCTGCTGCTTGATGTTTTGTTGTGGGGATGAGGGTAGCGTACTTTGTGTTCCTTTTCAGCTGTTGCGTCCTTCGGCCGATTAAGGGGATGAGGGTAGCTCACATTGTGTTCATTTTCAGCCGTTGCGTTCAACGCTTCATTTATTGCAATGATCTCGGGAGCATCGCGCGCAAGGCAGAGGTGACAGAACATGAGCAGCAAAAGCGCAATGCTGAGCGTTTTGAGTTGCATTGTGATCCGTGGTGTCGAGCTGTGACTTTGTTGGTTGTGTACTCTTAGCTTATTGAACACGATCCTTCACCAGTTGGCAGCAATTATGCATTGAATCGATAAGTAAGGAGAAGAGAATACTAGCTTATTGAACACAATCCTACACTAGTTGGGGGCAATTATGCATAGAATCAAGAAGTACGAAAAGAGAACAATAGTTTATTGAACATAATTCTTCACAAGTTGGTAGCAAATATGCATTGAATGAGGAAGTAAGGAGAAGAGAACACTAGGTTATTGAACACAATCCTACACTAGTTGGTAGCAATTATGCATTGAATCGAGAATTAAGTAGAAGAGAACACATCTGTAGGAGTCACAAGAATACTCCGCATGAGTATTCCTGAACATCTGTGCACTGAACAACGCTGAATGAATGTAGGAGGCGAATGCACCATCAGCTACACTCCATGCGATGTGGCACTGACAGAAATTAAATGTCACTTGAAGACTAGCTTCAAAAGAATTTATTCACTTACTCAGTAAAGAGTTCGAATTATTAAAAAAACTGTTTTAGTTAGTATTTTAAGAAGTTAACGGTTACATTTTAAGAAGGCAGCTATGTCACGAATGGTTAGTGGTTACCTTCTCTATGCCGCGGGATACCATGACGATCGTTACATGGTATCATGGTTACCTTCTCTATGCCGCGGGATACCACGATGACCGTTACATGGTAGCATGGTTACCTTCTCTATGTCGCGGGATACCACGACGATCGTTACATGGTAGCATGGTTACCTTCTCTATGCCGCGGGATACCACGACGACCATTACATGGTAGCATGGTTACCTTCCCCATGCCGCGGGATACCACGACGACCGTTACATGGTAGCATGGTTACCTTCTCTATGCCGCGGGATACCACGACGACCGTTACATGGTAGCATGGTTACCTTCCCCATGCCGCGGGATACCACAACGACCGTTATAACTTCTCGTAGTTCAAAACTGCGACTGTTCCTCATTTAACTGAAGTGTAGGCAACATCAACTTTAGTTAGTTATTGTTTTCCTAAAATGTATTTTTATGAAATAAAAACCGAGAAACACGTTAACATGCGTGAAAATTATTACCAGCATCGTATTGACGGGCTATAAAAAATAAAAATGTTATAGTATTCTTCAGTATTCTTCAATTTAATACAACTGAACCGACAGTTGTGGTTGAAATGCAGCACAAATCGTTATCTTCGTATCATCAATAACGAAGTTCAACATTATTTGTGTGTTTTGGGACCAGCTACCTGCAGTGGCAAACTTTCATTTAGCTTAATTTTCACTAGTTAACACGTTAACCAACATTTGAATGTATCACTTTTCACAAGATTAAGTAAACCAAAATAACGGACACCTATTAGTTTCTGGTGAGCTTGTTGGAGGCTAGGGAGAGAGACACTGGGCAGCACGCCACGCGCTCTAAAGGAAGAAGCTTGAGGTATATCTTAAAGTCAACAAACATTAGCTTAAAATAACCACAGACAGCTTACTCAAACAGGAAACTTATCAGTAGATAAAAACTCCTCACGACACAATCAAGTTAATCGTGCCTAAGACGTAGAATGTAATCTGTCGTACAGTAATGCTCGAATTATTTGTTATAAAATCAATTTTAAGATTCTATTAAAGTTTGGAAAAAACTACAAACGCGACAGTACGTGAAGGCAATTCTTAGATGAACGTTAGACCGCATGCGTGGGAAAAGTACGTGGGATTTGTTAGCTGAGACCGCATGCGTGGGAAAAGTACGTGGGAGTTGTTAGCTGAGACCGCATGCGTGGGAAAAGTACGTGGGAGTTGTTAGCTGAGACCGCATGCGTGGGAAAAGTACGTGGGAGTTGTTAGCCGAGACCGCATGCGTGGGAAAAGTACGTGGGAGTTGTTAGCCGAGACCGCATGCGTGGGAAAAGTACATCGGAGTGGTTTGCACTGAATATACACAGGATTTCACAACTGTATCATGATTCGTTGAAGATACAAGATTAAGATACCATGCGATGCTCGATGAGGTAATTGAACGTGATTATGCAAGATCAATAGAGCCGTCTTGTCGTGATGACTTGGACAAGACGCCGGCTGAGCGAATGCCCATTATTAACAACTCAAAGAAAGATACGAATAAAGAAATGCGAATAGATTGAGATCACCGGGAACAACGGAATAGTCTGTCAATTTCAAGCAAAATATTTTGCATTCGAATCGAAGTAGAACGCCGGAAGTGCGCGATGAGTCTGTACATAACGTAGCCCCAAAACTGCAACGGTCGCTTGCCTGTAGCTCTGCGGCGGACGTTCAGGAAAGCAGCTCATGGACATGCGGAACGCTCGTGGAAATGACATCCTACGAGTTACGACACGAGTTGAAACTAAAATTTTATTTTATTATATTTGGCTAGATTTTACTGCATTGTGGTAAGCCCCTTTCAATGATCCTGCAAGGAAGTAGGATTTTCCTCCTAGGGGTCCTGCAAACCCCCTTCTCCTGAGATGCAAAGACATGTGAATTCAAAGTATAAAATTAAGCAAGAGTATAAATTTCAGTGTGGACATTATAAGTAGACTGCATGCTGCCTAAAATGATTCACCAACTTCGTCATGTTGAAGGTGTTGTAATTGACATTTTATGGTTGGATTTAGCGCACTCCTTAGGTTTATCATGTTAATTGAATGTTTGCATTTCCGACTGGGTAAAAACAGGCAGACTGGTACATACCATTATTTGAGGTTGAGTAGACCCCCGTGCCTCGGTTTTGCGCTGGTTTCTTCTCTCTCTCCTCCATTGTACATATACATTGTTCTTCTAGTTGTGTAGCTTTTTGAATAAATTATTAAATAAATACAAGGAAAATGTTGAATATGAAGTTGGATTGGGATGGTTGTAGAGGAGGTGGAGACAAACACTAATACCTTGTTTTCCTGACCCTTAGCAACGAACACCCTCAGGCCCACAACGTGGCTGATAACATGTTGTGATTAGAGTCCTGTAACAACTGCATCAGACGATAGACTGATGCAGCCATATTTACGGTAACCCATTTCCGTTTTCTGATACAAATATCACAGCGTGGATTTCTCGAGCGGTCAACTCTGTCACCTTTCATGCGGTTTACTAGATCGTGGAATTACATAATTGTACATAAAACAAAAATGAGGAAATGAAACACAAACTGCGGATATAATCAATTATAATCGTTCACTTCGACGCCAACCAGGGGCCAGACGCCTGGGTCATATAAGGGCAGCCAGGCACTTCGTTGCCCGGCACCGGACGGCATTACAGTCTTCAATGAACACAACACTTCGACATCCGCGGCCTCCAGTTTCTCGAGCTTTACCAACACATTTGTCTCCGCAGGGTCAATCCCAGCCATCTGGAAGATCTCCATTATTTTCTCTATTGCGCAGCCACTTCCATTCGTTTGAGCCAAAACGTCGGTTAAAGATCAGCAAGAAGAATATGTATATCTTCCGGTATCCAGGTCACGAAGTAACATTTACTTTCATCTGACCTTAAACTTGGAAGAAGTAGGAATGCCTTCTGTTCAGTATTATTTGATCGTCAAAGATTTTTAAATGGTTGCATTTTTTAGCAATCACCGCATCTTTTATTGTCTGGAAATAATAAGCATATCTTTTACACAAGATTTCAACAATAAGGTCATGGTCCAAGAAACCGTCAGGGGACGTACCTAGGAAAGGAAAACCTTTGTGTACGAAAAAAAACGCATCAACAATCAACAAACTAACAATGGAAGGTTGTAATCTGAACGTGCTAGGCTTTTAATACCAACCAGCCAGGAGGGTAAGGGGATAACGAGGGTAAGGAGGCTGTCGATCCCGCTACCCCCTAGGAATAGAGTAGACGAGGGCCATGCCACTTCACGCGAGCTGATTTATGAGCGTCAAAGAAGGTATCGCTAGGACGGTACGAAACTTTTAACATGCTCAGGGCCAGCTTCCAAAGAAATTGGGAAATGTAACATTCAGGAGTGATGAAAAAGTATTTTGCTAGGAAATCACAAAATAGAGGGTGATTCATATATGACTTTAATACCAATCAATAAAGAATAAATAGTACTACTTTCTTACGTCTCAAAAATTTAGGTAAGTCGCGTCACTTGCATGTATAATGAACATCGATGTGCAAGATTTTACTCTATCATAACTGACGTTATACAAAATTTACATATATTTTGTACCTGTAGAAAATTGTAAATAAATAGCTGAATAAGCACGAAAAAAATTTAGATTGTTATTTCGTTTACGAGCGAAGTTATAATGACTATAAGTAGTGATAGATTCTTATAGGGATCCAGCCAAGCGTGCCTGAGGGCTCGCGGTTCTCAATCGCAACCTTAGGTCCCATCAATATAGGTGTACCTCAAGACTCAGCACATGGGCCTCTATTCTTTAATATTTTTATTAATGATATAGCCTCATCTTTTATTGCGAACTGTAAGCTTTTTGCCGATGACGCCGCGTTCTATGTCTCGAGAAACTCGTATGACGAAGCATGCGACAATATATCAGAGCTGTCATTGAATCTGTCAAGATAGCTTCTAGCAAATTAGCAAACAAGCTAGCGGCACATACAGCCATGACTATGTTGATGCTTTCTACTCCTAGACCCGTTTTCGTTTTACGTAACATAACCTTCAATGGGACAATCTTGCAACTTCTTGGAAAGTCCTTAGCAGGGTTGGCGATTTTTTGATTTTTTTTAAATAAAAAAAAATAAAAAATTAATGATTTTTTTTTTATTTTTTCATGATTTTTTTCATTTATTTGATTTATTTTTATTTTTTCAGCTTTTTTGTCTTTTTTGAGGTGTTATTTTTTATGTTGCAATTAGCCTACTAACAATAACAGTATATGGATCATAATGGATGGCTAAAAAGGGCACCTATTGCCTTCAATAATGGCCAACAGGCCAAGGTGGTGTTCACCACTTTGGGATTTTTGGGTAAACAATTATTGATAAGTCGATTGATTAGCTTTGTAAAGTTTGTATGGAGCAAGGTAATGAGCTAAATATTGACCATGTAACTGGCTTCAATATACAAAAACACTTCAGGAATGCGGATCTCCTAGATTGAGCAGTTTGGAGGTAAAATAAAAGAGTAATGGAGGTACCTACATAAAGAAGAAAGTTCATTTTCCTAGAGGTTAGCATAACATACCATTTAGAATACTTATGTTTTGAAAACAATATCTGGAAGATGAAGGCCATTAGCTGCAACACACTGTTGGAGTTGTTCTCAGAGGAGGGAGTAACCATGACAGTGAATTCCGATTGCTATGCTGCAATGTTGCAAAATTTCTTGCAGCCCAGGATGGAAAACATTGTTGAAAATGAAGCATTGAGAGACGTGTGGTTCCAGCAGGATGGGGCTACAGCTCACACAGCTCGAATGTCACTCAATGTTTTGAAACGCATGTTTCCCGGACGTCTGGTGTCTCTGAGGGGTGATTTACGTACAGTGGCCTGCGAGGTCACCTGATTTGAGCATTTGCGATTTCTTTCTTTGGGGACATATAAAAGAAAGTGGTTCAGAAGTCGCCCTCACACTCTACCACAGCTAAGGGAACAGATTATTGCAGCAGAGGTTATGGCCATACCTCGCCATATGTGTGAACGTGTTGTAGGAAACTTCCGAGAACAACTCCAACAGTGTGATGCTGCTGATGCAGCTAACAAACCCCATCTTCCTGATATAGTTTTCAAAACATAAGTATTTTAAATGGTATGTTATGCTAATCAAGAGGCAAATAAACTTTTTTTATGTATCTCCATTACTCTTTTATTTCGCCTCAAAACTGTACAATCAGTTCTGCCCCACCCTGTATAAGCTAGCTAACACATTTAAATTGTATATTGTAATCAATATATAACAAATAGTCAAATAGTTAGACTACTTATAGCCTTATAAGAATTAGCTAAGCTGCTAGCTACGTACAATGTATTGCACTTTTGATGCCTCTGTACCAAAAACATTCCATTTATTGGAACCTAAAACACACACAAGGCAACAAGTTTATATACCAATTTGTCATTCATAGTACATTTATACTAAACCATGAATAACAATACCTCAATATAAATCAATATAAATTAAAGACTGCCACTCAATATTTTTAAATATATGAAAAAATAAAAAAAAATCGAAAAAATAAAAAAAATCATGATTTTTTATAAAAAAATCAAGTGATTTAATCACATGATTAAATCATTTTGATTTAATCATTGCCAACCCTGGTCCTTAGTCTATGTACTTTTGATCGGCTTAGAACGAAGCCATGCTTTGTAAAGAAAGCTACTGTATTGTCAGGAACGCTTCACGAACGTTTCTGTAAACATTTCAAGACTTAGGCGACCATCTAAAAAGCTAGTGGGTTATTTAATTTTGGAAGACAGTCAAAAAAATGCAACGATTCTGCTGACATCACATCACACAAACACCTATGTCTGCCGAGTAGTAGTATATACATCGTCAGCAAGGCGGAAGGTCCAAAATATACTTCGTCAGCAAGGCGGAATGTTCAAAATATAAATCGTCAGTAAGGCAGAAAGTCCAAAGAAGACATTGTCAGCAAGATGGAAGGTCCAAAATATACATCGTCAGTAAGGCGGAAGGTCTCAATTATTGAAAAGTTCTCATATTAATCATCACCCACAAAGGGTTGAAGGTCTTAATTATCCAGCCCCGCTGAAGCTGGCTCGAAAGAAGAAGCGTAAGCATCTCAGAGAGACGAAGTGACAAGGGGGGACAGGTCACGCGGGCAGACAGATGAGTGAGAAACAGGCCAAAAGCAACGGAAACGAAGACACTTTCAAGAGGTCGCTTGGACTGGACGTCGGCCGCCTGCACAAGAGAGACAGAGAAGAGAAATGCAAGCAATCCTGGACCATAACAAGTTAACTCTACAACTCATACACGCAGTCAGACACCGGGAGCTCTGTGGTGGGGCGCTCAGGAACAATGCCCCTGGGGACGCGAAATCCCATAGGACTTCTGACGAGCATGGACACGTCAAGAGTCCCTCCTGAGGGGAAATCTGACTAACTTCGTTTCACAAACTTAGTTTATGCTAAATAGATATGATATGTACAATTGTTACTCTCATTGCTAAAATACCTGTATCTTACGTATTACAAAATTTATTACTCACTTACTCCTTTTTGAAATTTTTTGATAAAAAATACAATGCCCTTTGCTAACATGATCCGAATATCTGTACATAGACCTGATCAAGCGTGTTATTGTACCGCTAGTGGTGTTCTGCAACTATTGGGGATCCTCACATAACCAGGTGAAGGTTGGAATTGACTAGCAACACAAGTGACGCGAACCTGCTCCGCTTGGAGGGAGCACTTCCTAATGGAGTTGATGACCGATCCTCCCAGCTGAAATAATATTCTAATCTGAAAAACTGGCTATCAAGATTACAAGTTAAGGAGCGAGATCTTAACAAGAAGGACTAGAGGGGTAAAATTAATGGGCAGAATTCGATATTTAAACCAATCACCGCTGTTCCAGTTCGCGCCACAGGTCATCAGAGTCAGCCACAGAAGCTCTATCGTTGAGAACAAGTTTTGCCCCGCAGAACAAAGCAGAACCGTCGGAAACAACGCTCTCGCTACCAAGAAGGTCCAACTCTAGAACGCGATCATTCTGATTCTCGTGACGCTCATCCCTATTTTTCACCCTGCGTTCGAGAAGTGTCATGGTTTTGGATGGACCAACTTGGGCTGACCTCCCACGGTTCTCAGATGTGGTTCTTGCAGAGCTCACGTCAGAAGCCGATTCGTACTCATCGGTGCTCTGAGGGATGGAGTAAGGCGTATCAGGCCGGTCTTCCAAAAAGCGAGTTAATGGACTACGCATATCGACGCGCAAAGTTGAAGGTTCAAGACGGTCGATCGTTCAAGTGGTCAGTATAATCTCTTTCTTGGTCGAAGCGAAGGTACATATTTTTCATGATGCCACCAATACCTTCTTTAGAAAAGGTGTACATGACACCCAAGACTATCATCGGGAGCACGACGCCAGCAGCGAGCCCCACCAACATCGACCAAGCAAACACGTGGCTCGTCTGCAGCAGAAGGATCCTGAAGGCCGTGGGGCACCGCCAGTCCTCGAGAGCGAAGGGCGCCTCGGTGCGCGTCGTGAGGAAGTAGTCGCCTGGTATGGCGCTGCACGTGAACAAAACCACTCTCCGCTATTTACTTCGACCCGCGATCTGGCGCGGCTTGTAATGACAATAACTATTATAAATGTGATCATTCTCATTTTTCTACTGGTGCTGCACATTAACGAATTCATTTATTTAATATGTATTTAGCGGTTGCAGCGTTTATTAGGCCGTAAGCCTATCACCGATTCCTAACATCGCAGAACATTCATAGCTCGCGCGGGTCTCACCTACGCAACTCACTGCTCCAATTCTGTTGTGCTTAACTGCCCGGCCTCCTCGTAGATTCTGACCAGAAACTGGCGCACAGAGCTGGGATCGAGCAAGCACGTTTCTGTTCTAACATTGGTACTCCGAACTTTAACCATTGGGCCACCCTGCCCTTGGTCATTTGATGACGAGAACTATGCGTGCAACTTTACAAACGTTCAATGATGAGTTTCGAGTTCAGCAGCTCATCAATTTATGAGCGGAACTCGAGACCCGAGTCGTACTACAAGTGGAATCTTCTCTTCACGCCATTTACTCTTGCCGAGCATTGTTGACCAACGCACCCACAGCTTTGCAGACTCTTCTTTAATTGCATTCGAACGTCCGTACAAGTTTGGAGACGCCTTTAATTGTTAGCACTAAAAGGCTTGCAAACGTTTTCATTTTCAAGAGCAATTGTTCTCGAACATTCGACAAGTTCTAAGCTTGGCAGCAGGATTATCGAAACTTTTGTAATGAAATTTTGTAAATTTCAGTGAACAATTTTGGCGGCCGACTGTTGCATTTTTACCGAGTAAATTACTAAAGTGTAATTTAAAAATTATAATGACGAATATTTTGTATTTTTTGACGAATACATGGTTTGTACAAGGTCCCAGAAGGATTACTAGAATTTGAAATAAGAACCAACACCAGGGGCCACAGCTATAAGCTAAAAAAAACTGCTGTGCAACTTATCCGCGAGACAACATTTCTTCCTATCCAGGCCTATTCTTTAATGCCGAAGATACTATACTATACTATTTGTCCAATCACCAAGAGCCGTTTTGCTTGGTTACATCATATTGCTTGGCAAGTGCCACTCACGGTCCAGTCGGATATCCTTCAATGCATTTATATAAAAGAATTCACACCAGTCGAGCAAGTCACCTGCCATGCCTGCAGCCAGCATAGGAAATGCGCTATAGAATATTGGACTGGACAATGACTGGCACGTGCCCGGCTGTATGGTGTGGAACCGCCCGAACCGGTCTTAGTTCTCTCCATACAGTGGGGGGAAATAAATATTCGTACACTTGAAAAATCGTATTTTAATGTATGTAACTAATGTAAGTACACAAACTTAACAGGAAAAGTGATTTAAATTATGTATAGAGACGCATAGTATTCAAAAAAACTATCAAAAGAAATTAAATCTCAATGCAACAAAAAACCTGTCTCTTATACACATCTAGATGTGTATAAGAGACAGCTTTTTATATATTGGAACGCTGAGACTGTTGCATGATCATCAGATTTTTTCACTGGTTATTTATTCGATTATTAATAACGAGCCAGACGCATGACATTCATNAACTACCACAGAGCTCAATACGGTCACAGAAAAATATTCAATTTAACTTAGAGTAATTTTGTACGAATAAATGTAATGCCGATGAAGGTAAATCCTTCAAATCCTTTGATATAGAACAGACCTACAGAATCATACACGCTTATATGGCCACATACCAATTCGTTGACAGTCATACATGGTCTTCTCAATTGTCTAATTCCAGCACACCAAATAAAAAACTAGTTAGAGGCCCACAAGCACACTAGCGCACTAGCCACGCGGGTGTCTTGCACCACAAGTCTCCACATCAACATCACCAACAACTTTAAAGGTCTTATCAGTCATCATTATAAGTAAAATAAAATTCATCAACAGCAAGGGACGAAAGTCTTTAATGCCCAGCACGTTGAAGCTGACAAAAAAAGCAGCGATATTACAATTAAGAAACAGACATTCAGGAACCAAAGAAACGGAATCTGCAAACATTTCAATCATTGTATTAATAATTTTCAACCACATTGTTCGGGAGGCATCTTAATTTTCTACAATACGCGCCGTCCAGTACCAGCTCATGCAGCAGTGGGGGGTCGAATCACCGCGCGTAGGGCAGTTTCTTTAATGACGGGGAACAATGACATCGAAGTGAAGAACAATTCCTAAGGTTTCACTGGCCTTGAGTGCAATGTTAATATCAACTTAATTAACTGCATCTCAATCACGCGGAGTACAAGATGTGAGAATTGTGTGACATTTTGAGAACATTTGTTACGCTGCGAGCTGGAACACTCCAGGCTTATTATGGGACTAAGGCCAGCACTAGTCTGAATACGCAAATTTGCAGGATTTTTAGTGAGCAGCGACATACTAACAATACTTGCAGGATATAATGACACCTCACATAATCCTTCAGATCAGAAAAGTGCGCATACATGTTGTGAGCATCAGTGCTCTTCATTAGATGGTTACAACACCCAACAAATGCTATACTACATCAGCCATGCGACATTAAAGAATATAATTCATGTCGGTGCTTGTAATTAATAATTAGCGTCCACTTAACGAATAAGAAAGTTATTACACTAAAATGAAAAAGCAAGTGAACAAAAAATTCTCAACTTTTGAAGAGGGTATTATTGGTACGACAAAGTCCGAAAATTTCAAGCCACGGTAACGAAGTTTGACAGTCACAAGTCACGGCCAGCCAAGTTCTACAGTCACAAGTCACGGCCAGCCAGGTTCGACAGTTACACGTCAAGGTCAGCCAAGTTCGACAGTCACAGGTCACGGCAAGCCAAGTTAGACAGTTACACGTCACGGCCAGCCAAGTTCGACAGTCACAAGTCACGGCCAGCCAGGTTCGACAGTTACACGTCAAGGTCAGCCAAGTTCGACAGTCACAAGTCACGGCCAGCCAAGTTCGACAGTCACAAGTAGCGGCCAGCCAAGTTCGACAGTTACACGTCACGGTCAGTCAAGTTCTACAGTCACAAGTCACGGCCAGCCAAGTTCTATAGTCACAAGACACGGCCAGCCAAGTTCTACAGTCACAAGTCACGGACAGTCAAGTTAGATCACAAGGTAACACTGAGCTTTTAAAAGGTCACATAAATGCCACGACGGACTTCGTAGTACAATATTCTCGAGTGAATTTATAACTGAAAAAAATGCAATACAATCTTCTTCACGGATACCTCTGACCAAATACCAAGGTGTCCAGGGCGCTTCCTTCAGACGTCGGCAGGCCTGCTTACGACGCCGGCGAAGCTGCGAGCGACGCTGCCCAGGATGGCCGAGCTTTAGGCCCCTTTCTGACCATCCCCGACGCGGTCCTGGGGCGCGTCCCCGAGCAGAGGGTCGGTCATGTCTGCGCTTTCAGCCTTCCTCTTGAAGATCCCCTTGACTTTAATGCAGACGATGGAAAATATGACGACCAAGATGTAGACCAAGGTGACGACCAAGATGAGCAAGATGCCGACGATCAAGATGAGCACGGTGATGATGGCCATGAAGGCAGTCGCGGCGAGCTCAGATTGGCGTACTCGGCTGGGGCAAGACTTGTCCTCAATGGCGTATGGTGCCACCGAAGTCGTGTTCAGGAAATAGTCCCCGGAGGAGCTGGGCAAAAACATCATGGAAATACCTTTCTTTGCTTGCAACAATTATAGACACATTTGTTCAACTGCCGTAGCATCGTTACCCAAAAAATCCTGGCATTAAATCCTTGCATTTAAGTCATTTAGTTTGATTTTTAAATTTAAACGTTAAGAAAACGCAGCTCGTGAATGGAACGCAAACACCACACGTTCAGTATCTTGAGTCATTTTAGTTTTCAACATAAAAAGTAGCTTTTAATATCCCTTCGATTGCAGTTATTTAGACATATTATAGCACGATCGCGATACCGCTACTCGCTGCATCCACAGAATGATCGGTTTAACTATCCGTGTGCCTCAAGAACAAAATAATGAGCTTGAAATTAACTCTAAAACCTGACCCGCGGGATTACTTGAGCACAAATCTAGGAAAAAACTCATAATTTCAAATTTGCTCACGAATTCGTTGTTTAATGGGGCGATGTATATGAGTTTGAAATTCTGATACAAAAATAAAATACAAAATGCGCTTTTAACTTCAGACATTCTTAAAGACCTTTTTCAGCAGATGGCGGGTCGTTTCTACCGGCGTTTTCCATGAATGACTACTGAAAGTTGAAGAGTTCACTTAACTTATTTTGATTCCTTGACTCGCTCGATCGGACGAGATTCCTTAACTCACGCCATCGGCCAAAAATAAATAATCAGAACAATCGGACCAACGAGCGCTGACTCGCACGTTAATCTTATCAGGCGGCAGCCCATTAGGTCGTGATGATCTAAAATATCAAAGATGATAACGACCCATATTAACAATAACCAAGTAAAAACAGGATGTATAGCAATGTATGGAAATGGATTCAAGTCATTAAGGAACAGCGCAATGACGCTAGTCTAAAATTATAATTTAAAACGTTAAACGTACGCGGTTACCGTCAACTTCGTGTTCAACAATACAATATTTCACAATATCTCGAGGAGTTCTTCTCAGTTTAAGAATAAAGGCTAAAACAAAAAAAGTTGCATTAAACATTTTGCTGAATAAAAGTCCTAGATGAATAAAACAGAACGTTTCGGGCTATGCACATCATCAGCTAGTAAAATACATCTGGAAATACATGGAAATCAATTTTAGTAAATAAATTTAGAAAATGATAAGGAAAGAAAGAAAAAAAAACAACTATTGACCTAGAATCGAAAGAGGAAAAGAGCTGGATTGGTTATTCAATTTAGGTTTAAGTTTATATGGATGTAAAGAGACTCTAAAATTCGTAAATCGGTTGGGCTGCTAGCGTTACAAAGAATTTTAAATTGATTGATGGACACGGGAGGAGCAAGTGAGCACTGTTCTGTATGAAGTCTGACTGATGAATGAGGCGGCTGAGCTAGCAGCCAAACCGATTTACGAATTTTAGAGTCTCTTTACATCCATAAACTTAAACCTAAATTGAATAACCAATCCAGCTCTTTTCCTCTTTCGATTCTAGGTCAATAGTTGTTTTTTCCTTTCTTTCCTTATCATTTTCTAAATTTATTTGCTAAAATTGATTTCCATGTATTTCCAGATGTATTTTACTAGCTGATGATGGGCATAGCCCGAAACGTTCTGTTTTATTCATCTAGGACTTTTATTCAGTAAAATGTTTTATGCAACTTTTTTGGTTTTAGCCTTTATTCTTAAACTGAATACAATATTTACTCTAGCGCGGCATCTCGAGAATTGGCTCGCTCAGGCTTCGTAAACATGCGAATACAACGCAAATACAGCTAACATCAAAAAGATAACGATGAATGATCGCAATCAGCGACTAGTCAGAACCTCCTGCAGAACAAAATTCGGGGACCGCCTAGGCTTCGGCCGAATAGTCACTACACTCGGCGCAAAGTCATTCTGGGTCAGTTGGCCAACTGATCGCAATCAGCGACTAGCTAATCAGAACCTCCTGGCCGACTTTATGGTCGCCTGAGAGTAGGGCAAGAGTTGGCAGAATCCCCTCAGTCCGCTCACCAGGCTCTGGTAGCTGTCTGATTCGGGGGCCGGAATGTAGACCAAAAAGCGGACATAGCGAGAAGCTGATTTACGTTCGGTCCGAGTCCTAGGCGGTTCCTAATTCAGGCTCGCCACCAACTAAAAATTTTGATAGGGCACCAGCTAAAAATCTTGATCGATAGGGAAAGCTTGCAAGCTCGGTATGACTAGGCTCGGCCATCTCTTTTCATACTCTCAGGCGACTATAAATTTGGAAAGGAGTGTCAGACCAGAAGCATATTTCGCGCAAGAGGCCAGGCAAACCCAGAATAAATTCAAGTCATGTGTAACGACTCTTGTGCAGATGCCTAGACGGTACTCGAATTTTGTTAGGGTTACAGCAGTGAAAATGATTACTAGGCATAAACAATTGCTAGCAAATGTGAACCGATGAAGAGTGCGTCAAAAATTAATGGGCCATCCAAACAACATTAAAATATGGGAACACAGTAATCAATTCCTGCCGATGGATCAGAGCGTAAAAAATTTTACTGCGAATAGAAAAATATTGTAGGTTGAATATTTATTGTTTGATCTAACTAACCATATCGAACAAACCGGGAAGTAGAAAGTAGAAATGAAGGTTCAACTTTGCACCGGCAGAAACTAATTTTTCTACTCGACATTAACAAAGAAAAAAAATGACTCTTAATCAATGAAATACGAATGAGGTTTGTTGAAAGTTATTATCTTGCACACATTCAGCGGTAAGGTGAACACTGAGAACTTTATTTGCTTATCACTGTACAAAACTGCAAATGAACAGAGCGAGGATGCAAAGTAAGCTAAGGGTGGAAGTACCTCAAATAAACAGCCAGTGCACCAAGTTTGTCAGTACTCACCCGCTGTCGGCGAGGATGCCCATGTACTGAGGCAGGGGGCCGCAGTGGATGACGGGGTCGACACAGTAGGCGCGGTAGTTCTTGGCGGGACTCGCCAAGAACTTTGTGCTCGTGATGTCGTAATCAAAACTTTCGAGGAAATACTCCGTCACGATCGTGTGGTCACACCTCAGCGGGCCTGGGGCGGGTGGGGGGCAAGAGTGGTTGGGGAGACGTGTTTAAATATATGAACGCAGTGATAACATCTGAATGATGCACTGAGTTAAATCTCTGCATCTCATCCTTCCATTTCCACCACCGCGTTCACATATTCAGAGAGTTTATTCAAAACGACTTTCTTAGGTTCAGATCTCACGTACAAGCTTTAGCCCTAAAATGGCCTCCGCGGGGCGCTATTTGACGAGACACTCAATTCTTGTTAAGGAATTAAATTTACGTATTGTTGATTCATAGATTTAAGGCTTTATTTAGGCTTACGACCATATACAAGGTTTTTCGATTTTCATTGGCTTAAGCATGTTGAATTAAGCTAGACCGTTAATTTTAGGTAGTCATTTGAATTTATAGTGATTTGCTGCTTACATTATTTGCAAATCACTTTTGGTGCGGGGAGTGTTAAAGAATTAAAATTCACGTACAGTTTATTTGCATAACTTTATGCAGAATCTTTTTTACGATCTCCACTTTGGTAAAAGCCTTAACTTTAAATGTCTTAAATATCAATTAACAGCATCTATACCAGTATACTGCATCTGTGTCGTTGTGCCACTTCATGCCACATTTTCCAACCACAATTTCACCTGGAGAATTAAGTATTCCAGGGCACATCTGAATACAACATAAACTATCTTCGGCCTCTTGTAAGAAGATACGACAGTCTATAGCGGTCCGTCACTTGTGCTGGACGTCTCATCTGTGCTTCGCGATTTCGTGTGGTGACGCTCTTGTCCAGTGTGGCCCTGCTTGAAGTTACTGTGGACTTCAGTTGATGCTTCATCTCCACTAGACTCATCCCCCGTCGTCCTCCTGCCTTGGGCGTGAGACGTGGACCGCTGGCCGTGCCCATTCTTCGGTGCAACACGTGGACTCCAGACGACAGCATGTGGTGGGTGGCGTGACGACCATTAGTGCAGTGTCCTCTATGCCTTTTCAAATGCTGTTTAATTTGCTTGGCCAAATAGTCTTCTCGAGCTGTCAATTACTTTAAACATGATCACAGTAGCTTTCATTAAATTTAATCTGTATTGCGGTTATCCCATATTGTGGAGATCGTTAGAAAGATTTCTGAAAACTTTGGTACATTTAAGCAACTCTAAGCACAGTGCAGTACAAGTCTAAACTGTTAATTTACTTTGCCTCCTGCTTAATTATGTCGTATATTTAGGCGCTGTGATCTCTTGAAACGTTGCCTGGGACTGCGGCGAGAGCACTGGCCCACAGCTTACCTTTCAGCGGCAGGGGTCCCCGCCACAGCTACCGGATTTGGGGAGGATACCGAGCTATGACATTCGTCATACATTTTTGATGCGACGCACGTCGCATATTTCATCGCTCAATAAACTGTCCTTCTACCAATCCAATTTTTAATCCCTAATAAGTTTTTCAAGAATTCTCATCAAAATATACCTAAGAAGAGATTAATGAATAGAATTGACATACTGAAACAAAGACTGAATTATGAAGAAATATAAAGAGCGGCCCACCGTCTCCAACGTGGTGGCTCTCCGTCTTCTTGCACGCCGGCTGGAAGGAGCCCCCGTTAGGCCAGAAGTCCGTGTGGCCGATGCTCATGTAAATACCAAAGCAGTCCTAGCAAAACAAATGAGAATAATATGAATGCCCAGCATAACAGGTGTTAATAAATAACTGGTCGACGACCAAGTCCACACATAATAAAAAGTTCAACCAGGTATTTAATAGCAAATAAAATAACCAAAAATTTCACCATTTCTTATAAGAGAAAACGTTTCAGAGTCCAGCTCCATTGTCAGTTAAAAACTTAGAACACAGGTACAAATAATTAGTAACCTAAAATTCACATTCAAACAATTCACCTAAACTTGAGCACATTAGAACCAAAATCGAAAATAAAGCATATATAAATGAGATAACATGAGCAGAAGGTACTATCTATTTACAATGAGTAGAGGATAGGGACTGTAAGCGGCATTCATACCGGGCTTCCATTTAAAATTATACAATGATTCTAAAATTCGTAGGTCAGAAACACCGGTTGTGGAGGCTAAAACTCTAAAATCACTATTGGACACCGGTTCGTTGCACTGCTCGGCATGAATACATACGGCTGAATGAGGGGAATGCGCATATATGTTCCCTGCTCTATAACTCCTGCCTCTATGCTCTGCAAGCTTAGTATGAAAATTGGGTGATGTCATACCGACATACGCAGATGCTCACAGCGCACAATTATATTGATAAACTAGGGATGATCGCATAAGAACAGGGAGTGGATACCTGTATCTGAAAAACGAGCTAATTTTAAAATTGTTCACCATCAATACATAACCATTTGCATTCGATATGTATTTAGAGAATGGATCTTTCAATTTCTTTGCTATAGTCTCAGATGCGGGGCCAAAGTAAGGAAAAAATAATTAACACCATTCCTATCGTCACGCTCGGGAACAACCTCAGCATATTGCTTAAACAAGAATTTCTTACTTTGAGTATACACCAATTGTGATGGAAACCCATTTTGCGAGAAGATACTGCGCAAATGTTAAAATTCAGTGTGATGGAGCAAAGTGTGTTGTGTTTTCATAGCATGGAAAGTGGAACAAATTCGGAGGCCGTGGTTTAATAACGTCTGAATCTCATTTTTTTTTTCGAAACCAAAGGAACAAAAGCTAAAAATGCTGGTGCTTAAGCCGATAAACGTAAATTTTCTGTAAACAGATGTCTGGAAACGGCAATCAGATTTTATGACCTTGCGATCAAGAAAAGATAAATTATTGTTGGATTCGAGCTCCATAGTAAATTTGATGGATTTCTTGAACGAACTTCTTCTCTTGTCAATGAACTTGTCATGGGTTTGAACCGCAACTTTTTTAAATCTCTACTTGAATTATCAGGTTTAAACTCTGTTTTTGTATTTGCTGGCAAGTTTTATAGACAAATTGACGGTTTGGGCATGCGTCTACATCTTGGCCCTATCTTTACCAATATATTAATTAATGTGTTTTCACAAGGCTACATGGCTGGCCAACTGTCTTATTGATTTTAAGCCAATTTTCTATAACCGATATGTAGATGATACATTTTTAATTTTCAACCATCCCTCTCACGTGGGAATTTTTTCTTTTATCTTAATCTGCAACAAAAATCCATCAAATTTACTAGGGAACTTGAATCCAACAATAGTTATCTTCTCTTTATTGCAAGGTCATAAAATCTTATGGCCGTTTCTAGACATCTGTTTACCGAAAATCGACGTTTACCGGCTTAAGCACCAGATTTTTTAGCTTTTGTTCCTTTCGTTTCAAATTAAATGGGATTCAAATGTTATTAAACCGCGGCTTCCGAATTTGCTCTACTTTCCATGCTTTGCACACTCAATTTGAACAATTACGCAGTATCTTGTCACTAAATGGGTTTTCATCAGAATTGGTGTCTACTAAAATTGCGAAATTCTTGTCTAAGCAATATGCCGAGGTTGTTCCCAAACGTGACGATAGGAATGATGTTTATTGTTCTTTTCCTTACTTTGGTCCTGCATCTGAGACTATGGCAAAGGAACTGAAAGATCTATTCTCTAAATACCTCCCGAATGTAAATCTTCATGTAATGCTAGTAAAGAATTTTAAAATTAACTAGTTTTTCAGATAAAAGGAACCACTCCCTGTTATTATGCGATCATCCCTAGTTTATCAAAATAGTTGTGCGCAGTGCGCATCTGCGTTTGTCGGTATGACATCGCGCAATTTTTATACTAGGCTTGCAGAGCATAGAGGCGGGAGTTATAGAACAGGGTACTTGCGCATTCCCCTCATTCAGACGTACGTATTCATGCCGAGCAGTGCAACGTCCTTTGTCCAATAGGGATTTTAGAGTTTTAACCTCGACAACCGGTGTTTCTGACCTAGGAATTTTAGAATCATTGCATATTTTTATATTTTTAAATGGAAGCCCGGTTTGAAAGCCGCTTAGTTTCTATCCTGCACAAATTGTATATAGATAGTACCTTCTGCTCATGTTATCTCATTTATATTTGATTTATTCTCGATTTTGGTTCTAATGTCCTCAAGTTGAATGTGGATTTTAGGTTACCTGTGTTCTATTTTTTGAAATCTCCGGAACGTTTTCCCTTATAATTGATAAATTTTTTGGCTATTTTCTTTCCTTTAAAATTCCTGGTTAATTTGCGATTTAAGCAACCAAGTGATCCTAATACATAATAGTTCAAACGTCGACCTGATTTCAGATGGAAGCCAATACTCCTACTGCTTTGAGGTAGACTCACAGGACGAATAAAATTTATTCCATGTTAATAGGAACGGAATAGAACGGAACGAATCAATAGAATGGTAAATAGTAGTGGCTAGTTATGGAAGGTGTAATTGCCGCCACTACAACTGCCATTTATGTCTCTAGTTGCAGCTGATGGTGTGCAGTGCGGCGACCAAATTAAGGCATGATACTCACATACCACCTGTTCCAGTTGTTGCAGCTGTTGGTGTGCATAATGTCGACATAGAGAGCATCGCTTTTGTCGAGGCGCTCTTTAGGCGAAGTGTCCAAATATCTTTTGCTGGCAGGATCCAGGCCTGAAGAGAGACAAAAACCTGCCGTCAAACATCTTAATTGCGTTGTTCAACTTGGAAATTATATTTATATTATCTTTGTAGAAGGATCTATCAACCAATTTCGGTAATAAAAATGCGCCCAGACAGCCAAGGTTACGTTAGCTGCGATTAGTCAGATTGCATTTTAGGTTAATATTACATTAGCACCGAACACGATGCAGAAGATGAGGCAATGACCTGTGATGCGGCCGAAAGGGTAGGGGCTGTTCTTGGCTGCGAAGCCGGCGATGTGGGCGCCCAAGTTGAGGCCGATGGCGTGTAGGCGCGTGTAGTCGAGACCGCGCACGGCCTGCAACGTTGTCAGCAGCCGCGACACCGCCGCGCCAATGCCGGGAACCGTATCTGTAATTACACATGTTTGTTACGATATGTCAATTGTTAATATTGCGGTCACTTTGAGTCATAGGCCTAACTCACGGGAAGTCAACAAAGCAAAGCCAGTATAGTCAATATTGAGGGCAACTTGGATCCGCTTTGTAACTCACCTGACGTTTTATTATAGGCAAGCTCGGTGAAGTTGTCCCCAGACGCCCACTGCACGGCGATGACGTTGCTGTTCCCGCGTGCCAGTATTTCTGAAATGAGCGCATGTCAAGCTTCAGTGGGGGGGGGGGTGAGAGGGGGAATTTTATAGGGTTAAGCCTTAATAACGATGAGGGGAAACATTAAAGATGCGTCACAACGAGTCGTATAGGAGTTGCTAAGAGTTATTATCAGGAGATATAATAGCAAATACCATATAGATTTAACTTCAGCGATTCATGTGTCATTTTCTGAGTACGAGATACGGTCACAACTGACTGTCTTTGAGAAACAACACCCAGGGCACGAGGGCGTGGGATAAGAAGCCGTGCACGATGAGGTACGTGTCGGCCGACGCCAGGAAGTGGCTCTGCGACACCGACGCGTTGTCCGCCCCGATGATCTCGTACTGCTTTCCCTCCATATATCCTCTGCATGTGAAATAAATGTTGTAACCGCTGCTGCAAACCACGGTTGTTTCATTTTCTACTGTTATAAACAGACGTGTTATACTTGATTCTCTCGTGCTGCTTTCTCTCCATATATCCTCTGCATGTGAAATAAATGTTGTAACCGCTGCTGCAAACCACGGTTGTTTCATTTCCTACTGTTACAAACAAACGTGTAATACCTATTCTTTCGTACTGCGTTTCCTCCATATATCCTCTGTGCGTGAAATAAATGTTGTAACAGCTGCTGTAAACCACAGACGTTTCATTTTTTACTGTTATAAACAGACGTGTTATACCGGATCTGCACCTGCCAACAATAAACCTATTTCAAGCGTCCATCCTCTCCCTAACCTCTGGGATTTTGACATCGTATAATTCAGCCTTAGCTGACGATATTTTCATTTTTGGCATTTTGAAATGAAGGTATATTTTCTTCGTAATATTTTCATTTTCGCAGTTGAAAATTACGGTACATTGTCATCGTAACGAAGATCACATTTGTTTAAGAGGCCCGTTAAGTGACGCTTCAACTCCAAACTCGGCACACTGGGGAACTGAGGGTAAATTTTTGCTGCAACGTCTGGCAGCGTAGTGACGTGGCCGAGGGTGCATGAGAATAGTTAGGTATGAACTGCACTACTGATTGCGCATGGATTTTTTGTTACTTCAAGGCATGGATTTTTTGTTACTTCAAGGCATACATTTTCCTTACTATTTAAATACTCTCGACCTTCCGAGTTACCTCAAAATTTCTCATATTGAACGGCTTATTTTTCGCTAATAGATAAACTGTTCACTGCCGACAGGAGAAATTCAGTGCACCGCGAACAGTGTCCACCGGTCTATTCTGAGCATTCAGACTATTCATGATTATTTGCAACTACGATCATTTAGTTTCTTATTCAAATAATGGCTGGCTCAAAAATTCGTTCGCACATTGAAGAAAGCCATAAAACTATAGTGTGAGTCGATAAAATTATTTAATTACATTCGTGACATCGATATGATTTGACATCGATATTCACTTATCAAATGATTTCCAAAAAAAAAAAACAATCACATGGTTACTTTAAGAGGTAGCTGAGAGCTTTCTCTGCTCTTAGCTAGGCCCAACTGACCGTGCTTATTCCCCCATAATAGAGGGGGAGGAAGGAGCAGGTAAATAAAAGGAAAGAGTTGAGGAATTTGCCTGCTGCGCTCAACCCCATGAGGCTCAACCCAATTCCCTCCCTACCTCCCCATTGTTCTGACATTGTCCTCCCCTACCTCAATCGTCTTCTGTGTTGTTATCTCAGCCGGTTATCGTTGCCTCAACAACGCTGCCGAGGGATGTGGTACGGTATCGCCGTACCAAATTGTCACGGCATATAAAACCAAATTGTCACGGCGCTGTAAAAATACCGTCAAAAGTTTAGCAATACAGACATGCAAAAAATTCCATTTAGATTATATTTTACAGTCGCATTCACGGACTTTCGAAGTTCGCGCTACGCAACCAAAGCAGAACTGCGTGTATAGACTCGAGACAACAGCGAGCCTTGTGGAACTCAGGACAAGGGTTGAGAGGATGAGTGGGAAAGGGGAGGGTTGAGGAGTAATATATTGCTGTAGGCTGATGGCAGTGTCGGAGTATGGTACGTGTGTCCCCTCTCCTACCTACTATAACTATGCATAACTGTATAGTTATTAGCTGCACTGTATAGTTATAGGATGCACTGTATAGTTACAGGCTCCTTTGTATTCTTTTATAAATTTGTTGATGGACTGACTGACGGGTATCATTCATTATTAGATATTGTAACATAGCGATGTTAACTAATTTATAATTTGTAACATTGAAATGTCAACGTTATTTGAATATTTACTCATGAATTCATGGACAACACCATCGTTAATATCGCTCCCAATATTTTTACTGGTTGCAAACTAATTATTTTATTATGATTTTATTTATTTAATTAGAAGCTCTTCCAGAGAGATCAATCGCAATATTAAGTGCGAGAAATTTCAAATCATAAAATATGGTAAAATATGGAGAGATGTTCAGACAGTTTGCTGATTTGATCCTCACTTCAGCCTCCATAGAAATTCGATAGGTAAGGGTATCTGATCTCCCCTACGAGTTCACCCTCAATCCATCATCTACCCACCACAATTGTAAACAAGCTTGTGATTTGGACCTCGCAGACATTGGCAGTGTTTATGGTTGTTCGTTGGCGAGTTTGCACTTTAAATCCTGCCCCTCTCCTCTCATTCTCACCCCCAAACAATGTCACTCTACATCCATGCTTATAATCCATATGAGTGTAGAATTTTAATCTTGAAACGTTAAAAAAACAACAGTGGAATTGCTTACTACATCACATCGTTATTTTTGATGCGATTATATGTCATGCCAATATTCAACAGTTTAACATTATTTTTGCCTAAAAAACAGTGAACAGGTTAGAAAAAAACGCTAGTGAAAATGTAAGCTTATACTGTAATCACTGACCATGTACAATGTACTGCTACTGGTTAATTCTAATTCTTATGTAATTTTTACTGGAATTAATAGGCAGTTTTATTACTCAAAAGATCTCAGAGTAATTATTGGCGGTAAATTTTTGAAGTACCCCCTTTTTTGTCGCTTTCTATGAACTTCACGTTTTCTATTAAGTTTTCCAAAAAAATCATCCGAACAAAATCTGCCATTATTTCGGTTTTACATATATGTGTGAAGTTTCAGAAAGATCCGTTAGTAAATGTAGAAGTTTTTCTGGAGGGTAGACGCCCCCCTTAGCTGGTTGACGCTCTTATACAATTCCCCGACCTGATGTCATGATTGTCATCAAACATAAAACAAATGTTAGGGCTGATGTTGAAAGTGTACGAATGCCGTCTGTATGTCCGCAACATACTCTTGTAAATAAGTTAAATGAACGGCAAAGCAGTGTTAATTTTTAACCACTGTCTACGGGCGACTTACCAGGAAAATTTAGCAATTTACTGCATCCTGCTGCCACCTGATCTTTGTCAAGACTAATTTCAGAGCACTTATTCCCGTTGTCCCTTATGATGGATGGGAATACCCTCAGCAACGTGCAAAAACTCTTAAGAATGAGAAAGAATCAAGGACGATGCAAACAGTGCCGTAATGACAGGGCGTAACATAGCACTTAAAATGATACATAACGTTCATATGATCCACTCACCTGGTCCATAAGTACGCTGCGTCTAAGTCCACTTGGAGAGGAGAGGACGCTGTCTCAGCACAAGAGAAAAAGGAAACCAGTTACAATTTTGGGTTTTTGAAAGGTAGTAATGAAAGATGTTTCATTATCACACATGGGACTCATCAAAATTGTATTTTTACAAAATATTTACTAATTTTACAATTAAGGTCGTCCACTAAAATCTACACGGAATTTCTTGGTCATTCATACGATATTGATCAAGATTAGCAATTAAAGGAGGAAAATAAAGCACTTAAGTTTACACATTAACATCGGCGATATTAAGACAGGATATCTAGATATGACTCGCCTTTAGAAGTCGTGTGAGTATCCGCAGATATTGCGGCCAGACTGGCCAATACAGCAAGCAACACATGAAAAGTTCGATGCATTCTGAGAACTTTTCCTTCAGTCGCACACAATGGATATGGGTTCGTTTTGCACGAAAATTTGATCACAGAGGCAAATATGGCGCAGTCTTTCACCGATGTTAATTTATCTGGTCAAGAGTTGATGTTGGGATCAAAAGGACACCTACATCAGCACACTGCTGATAGCAGTTGAAAATCTTACAATTAATTAGGGGAGCGTCTGCCCCAAAATCGAAACTTATGACTTTTTCGGTTTTTATACTCATCTTAAAGCTTACATTCTGACGCATCCAACGGCACCAAAACCACCTCTGTACGTTGATTTATGCGTTCACGACAGATCGCGGGAAGGTTATGGGTGGTGGAGTTCTCTCACATTTAAGATGGGCCGAAATTACCGGTAGTACACTTAAATAGCTAGTCTGAACACGCTGTGCTTCAGTAATCCGCCTGAAGTCGTACGGGATAGTTCTCGTGCAGTCGTTCGCACCATCCTTGACAGAAATTGAGCTCCAGTATCGTCTAGTCTTGCAATCTTGCACCCTTGAATGTCTATTTCGGGGCGCGCCCGACTTTGTCGGGCTCTACTGAAAAGTAAACTTATTATCACTGCAAATCTAACTCCTCCTAGAGTTTTGAAGCTACATCAACGAGAGATATACCGTTCGAATCGCAAATAAAAGATCTACAGATGACGCAGACGTTTTTTTCTAATTTCGTTATAGTTTGGATTTTATTCTGCGAAAAGGGGGGTGGCGGGGGTAAAATGAAAAAATTTCCGAAAAATTCATGAAAGATGCTCCCATACCCACAAATTTAAGAATTTCAAAAACCGTCTACCTTAGTTTTAGATATGGTCTTTACAAATCGAATGATATGTGTCTCGATATTGTAGCTAGAAAATCGTAGGAGGAGATAGATTTCTACAGTACCCCCTTTTTATCCGTTTTCTAAGAATTTCCGGTTTTCTTTCATTTTTTTTTCGAAAAATTCACACGAACAAAAAAGACTTAGAATTCCGTTTTACATACGTGTACCGAATTTTGAATCGATCCGTCGATAAATAACTGATAAAATTTGGGGCAGACGCTCCCCTTACATGTGCGTACAGCAAATTCACGGGATATTTGATAAGAGTAGTATTATAATGAACCCATATATTTACTACCGCACAAGCGGACTTGGGTACAAGTTGACAACGCCACACGTTAACTAACGCAAAATTTAACTATAATGAGTTAAGCTGAAAGAATTTAATAGAGTTTCTTATGTATTTTTAAAATTTACAGACATTACTTTATTATTCGGATTTAGTTTAAGACGCATGTGTAACTTTTTTATTTCTTATCAAGTTTGCTGGACGTTCCCCTAATGAGTTGATAAAGTTAGTTAT